AATAACACAAAGAAAATGAAAAATTCCACAAACACATAGAGACTTCACAACATGCTCCTAAATAACCAATGGATCAACCACCAAATAAAAACAGAGATCAAGCGATATATGGAGATAAATGACAACAATAATTCAACATCTCAAAATCTGTGGGATCCAAAGAAGAAAGTATATTGCAATACAGGCCTACCACAAGAAAGAAGAACAATCCCATACAAGCAGTCTAAACTCAAAATTAATGAAACTCAAAAGAGAAGAACAAATGAGGCCCAAAGTCAGTAGAGGGAGGGACATAATAAAGATTAGAGCAGAAATAAATAAAATTGAGAAAATAAAACAATAGAAAGAATCAATGAAAGCAAGAGCTGGTTCTTCAAGAAAATAAACCCCTAGCCAGACTTATGAAGAATAAAAGAGAGTCTACTCACATAAACAGAATCAGAAATGAGAAAGGAAAAATCACTACTGACACCACAAAAATACAAAGAATTATTAGAGAATACTATGAAAAATCATATGCTAACAAACTGGGTAACCTAGAAGAAATGGACACTTTCATAGAAAAATACAAACTTCCAAGGCTGAGCCAGAAAGAAACAGAAAATCTGAACAGACCAATTACCAGCAACAAAGTTGAACTGATAATCAAATACCTACCTGAGAACAAACCCCTGTACCAGATGGCTTCACTGTTGAACTTTATCAAACATTTAGTGAAGACATAGTACCCATCCTCCTTAAAGTTTTCCAAAGAGTAGAAGAAGAGGGAATACTTCCAAACTCATTCTATGAGGCCAGCATCACTCTAATACCAAAACCAGGCAAAGATACCACAAAAACAGAAAATTACAGACCAATATCCCTGATGAATGTCAATGCAAAAATACTCAACAGAATATTAGCAAACCAAATTCAAAAATACATTAAAAAGATCATCCATCATGATCAAGTAGGATTTATTCTAGGGATGCAGGGATGGTATAACTGAAAATCCATCAACATCATCCACCACATCAGCAAAAAGAAGGACAAAAACCACATGAATATCTCCATAGATGCTGAAAAAACATTTGACAAAATTCAACATCCATTTATGATAAAACTTCTCAACAAAATGGGTAAGAAAGCAAGTACCTCAACATAATAAGGGCCATATATGAAAAACCCACAGCCAACACTTTACTTAACAATGAGAAGCTGAAAGCTTTTTCTTTAAGATCAGGAGCAAGACAAGGATGCCCACTCTCCTCACTTCTATTCAACATAGTACTGGAGGTCCTAGCCACGGCAATCAGACAACACAAAAAAATAAAAGGCATCCAGATTGGCAAGGAAGAAGTTACACTGTCCCTGTTTATAGATGACATGATATTGTACATAAAAAACACTAAATAAATCACTCCAAAACTACTAGATATAATATCTGAATTCAGCAAAGTTGCAGGATACAAAATTAATATGCAGCAATCTCTGTGGCATTCCTATACACTAACAATGAACTAGCAGAGAGAGAAATCAGGAAAACAATTCCATTCACAGTTTCATCAAAAAGAATAAAATACCTAGGAATAAACCTAACCAAAGAAGTAAAAGACCTATACTCTGAAAACTACAAGACATGCATGAGAGAAATTAAAGAAGATACCAATAGATGAAACACATCCTGTACTCATGGATAAGAAGAATTAATATTGTCAAAATGGCCATCCTGCCTAAAGCAATCTACAGATTCAATGCAATCCCTATCAAAATACTAACAGCATTCTTCAACAAACTAGAGAAAATCATTCTAAATTTCATATCTAACCACAGAAAACCCCAAATAGCCAAAGCAATCCTGAGAAAGAAGAATAAAGCTGGGGTGATTATGCTCCCCAACTTCAAGTTCTACTACAAAGCCACAGTAATCAAGACAATTTGGTATTGGCTCAAAAACAGACCCATAGACCAATGGAACAGACTAGAGAACCCTGATAGAAACCCAACCATATATGGCCAATTAATATATGATAAAGGAGCCATGAATATAAAATGGGGAAATGATAGCCTCTTCAACAACCCATATTGGCAAAACTGGACAGCTACATGCAAGAGAATTAAACTGGATTATTGTTTAACCCCATACACAAAAGTAAACTTGAAATGGATCAAAGACCTGAATGTAAGTCATGAAACCATAAAACTCTTAGAAGACAACATAGGCAAAAATCTCCTGAATATAAACATGAGCAACTTCTTCCTGAACGCACCTCCTTGAGCAAGGGAAACAAAAGCAAAAATGAACTCATGGGACTGCATCAAACTAAAAAGTTTCTGTACAGCAAAGGACACCATCAACAGAACAAAAAGGCACCCTACAGTATGGGAGAATATACTTGTAAACAACATATCTGACAAGGCGTTAACATCCAAAATATATAAAGAACTCACATGCCTCAACACCCAAAAAGCAAATAAGTAGATGAAAAAATGGGGAGAGTTTATGAAGAGACAATTCTCCAAAGAAGATATTCAGATGGCCACAGACACATGGAAAGATGCTCCACATCACTAATCATCAGGGAAATGCAAATTAAAACCACAATGAGATAACACCTTACACCAGTAAGAATGGGCAGCATTGAAAAGACTAAGAACAACAAATGCTGGTGAGGATGTGGAGACAGGGGAACCCTCCTTCACTGCTGGTGATAATGTAAGCTAGTTCAACCATTGTGGAAAGCAATATGGAGGTTCCTCTAAAAACTAAAAATAGAAATACCATTTGACTTGGGAACTCACTCCTTGGAATTTACCCAAAGAATACAACTCCTCAGATTCAAAAAGACATATGCACTCCTATGTTTATCACAGCACTATTTATAATAGCCAAGATATGGAAGCAACCTAAGTGTCCATCAGTAGATGAATGGCTAAAGAAGAGGTGGTACATACACAAAATGGAATACTATTCAGCCATAAGAAAGAAACAAATCCTACCATTTGCAACATCATGGATGGAGCTGGAGGCCATTATGTTCAATGAAACAAGCCAGGTGGAGAAAGACAAGTGCCAAATGATTTCCCTCATTTGTCGAATATAACAATGAAGCAAAACTGAAGGAACAAAATAGCAGCAGACTCAGAGACTCCAAGAATGAACTAGTGGTTACCAAAGGGCAGGGGTGTGGGAGGGCAGGTGAGGAGGGAGGGAGAAGGGGATTGAGGGGTATTATGTTTAGTACACATGGTGTGGGGATCACGGGGAGAACAGTGTAGCACAGAGAAGGCAAATAGTGAATTTGTGGCATCTTGCTGCACTGATGGACAGTGACTGCATTGGGGTATGGGTGGGGACTTGATAATATGGGTAAAAAACATTGTTTTTCCATGTGAAACATTCATGAGAGTGTATATCAATAATACCTTAGTAAAAAATTAAAAAATAAATAAAGTAATAAGTGTGCAGGACTATTTGGAAGAGATGAGGTTCCAAAATTAGCTTGGAGTAGGTAACATGGCAGATTGATAGGTTTTGTTTGGTTCAATATTGCTGTTTACTGTCTTAAAGCATAAGTGTACATATAAATAATGTATAATCACACTTTTTCTGAGTTATATAAAGTAAGATTAAAAAGTGTTTTCCCTTTGCCCAGTATTTTCTGTTTTATTTAGAGGAGTTTTAAGAAACAGCATGTAATTCATAGTACAGTTAACTGCCCACACATTTTACTACAAATATTCTTTTTATCTTGAAGGTAGTTTTAAATTTCAGCTGTCCTAAGCAACACATGCAGTTAAGATGTTCGTAATATAAGGGACCAAATAAATATACAGACTGTCTAGAATAAGACTTATAATCTGAGTTTTACATGAAAGTGATGTAATTTTGTGAGATGGTACAGAATGCACTTTTAGGATTGTATAGATTAAAAATGGTGCCTGTGCAGGAAAATAATGAAATAGAATGACAATAAAACTCCTGGACTAAAACAACGAGGAAATGTAAACCAAGGTAATTCTATTCAAGACATTGACAAATAGTGACTCATTAAATTATTGCAATTTACTAGAGTAAATATATTATATTAAGTAACAAAAATATTGTAGAAGTTTTATTTATCAGACTCCAGATATTTACACAGCTTGCTTTCTCACTTCATTGGGAACCCTGTTCAATACTATCTCTTAATGAAGCTTTTCTGGTCTATTCTACTTAAAACAGTAGAATATAGATTTAAATGGAATGTGTTACAGAAAACAGAGGGGAAAAAAATCTAAAGTTAGAAAAGTCAACAGTATATATATTTGAAATATCTTTACTGACACCAGAACTGAGTGAATACGTGCATATATTCTCCTTGGATCACAATCATTAAGATCAGATATTTTATCATGGGCTCTAGAATTACATACATTAGTCATCACTTGAGATAACTATGTAGAAGCAGTAGAGTGACCTCTCTGGAGGACAGACAGTTAACGTGTAATAACCAATGGTGTTAGAGCTCTTTTTGGTTAGATCGATTAATAATTAGTTCTTCCAATCTTGCACATCATTAGAATTGAGTTCATTTGATTCATATTTACTTTGAATTTAATGCATAGTTTGAAGATAATGTTCCAAATGGATAATTAAATCATTTACAATTACATTAGTAGTATACTGTAATGTGGTAGAGGAACTTAGGTAATCATTCAAGACAATATTTTATAAATATTGGTAAACTATATCATAGCACCATTCTAGCAAATGTGAAGAATGACCAAATAATTATATTATATAGTGGGAGAAATCAAAGTGCATAGAGATTAACAGCTTTTTGAAGAACACTGATATGACCATGGATAGAAGCTGAAACAAATTAATGATTTTTGTTCTATAAATACCTGATATTTCTTGCAAGAAATTATGTGTAATTTCTGTCAGTGGGATTCTGGTTGCTGTTGTTTTCTGCATTAAACCCCAGAGCAGGTTCAAATAGGTCCATGTATGTAATTATAATAAGAGAAAGGGAGAATTTTGATAAAATATTTTATTATTATTAAGAATAATAATATAATCATGGTTATAAAAATAACAACTTTATTAACTACAGAAACGTTATATACAAGTCATAACCACAGTGTTCCCTTTATGGGTAAGCATCCAGCTATACCACTCAATAGGCAGCTTATCAATTTCCTATTTACACACAAGACAAACAGTCATAATATCCACAGTATTCCATGTTCAGTTTCCTAAAGACAGAAACTTTCTGTGCAAATGGAAATGAACCTACTTGAAATTACACTGTCAAGATTTATACGGTCTGACAGAATTTTAACATTTTTACTGTATTAGTAAATTCTTAGTTCAAGTTGAATGTTGAAAGAAAAGTATTCACACAAAGACTATGTCTTTTTATTCAAATTAACTTTACTTTTCAAATGAGTTTGTCTATAAATACAGGTTGTAATTGAAAGTAGTTATATTTTGAGCCTCAGTAAATCAATTAAAAGTTTTTTAGTATGACATTTTAGGAAAATTCTTTACCTTGTGATCTCTATATGGCAATACAGTATATCTTTTTAAATAGAAAAAATGTTCAGAGACAAGAAAATGGCTTGAGAGCAATTTCTCACTTCTTGACAGTGTCCTTTTAAAGAGAATGTTGTGGCTATAACATTCACTTTGTACAGTACCATTGGTACCAACGAGAAATATTCACAGGAATAAGTGAAATACAATTTTGCTATCACATGCTGTTATTGTTATTTTTCTTGCCTTCCAGTGTCTCACATTTCCCATAATTTGAAACACTTAGATAGCAAGCAAGAGCCTGTTAATAGTAGAGACTGACTCAATATAAACCATTTTACTGAGGACCTGCCCACAGCAAATAGGTAAAAGTCACTGAATATTTTTTACAATAAAATTAAAGAAGTATACAAAAGGATTATCACCCCTTCTGCACGGCAGAGGCATTATGACAAATATTTCAATTTTACATTACTATTCCTGGTAGACATAAGAAAATGTCCACAGTTATAACAGCATATAATCATTATTCAAACAGGCCAAACAAAAATAGTATTGAAAACTTCTAATTTAAAAGATCCTTTTGTCTATAACTCAAAATGAAATGGGTTTTTAGATAAATTGGATTTTTAACATTTTTTTGTGGTTTATTAAGAAAAGAATGCCCAGGAAATAGTATCTTTCACCAGAGAAAAATGACATGATGATTCCCTGTCCTACCACCTAAAATAATGTGGATCTTGTCCATGTTTCTTTCACTGTCTATTCTACCAACTCCCTCTATCACAAAGGAAACTTCCCAAAGAAAGTGCTGCTTTGTATGCCATGTCTGATGGCTTAGGGGTGGATTTGATTTTGCCCTTTAATAGAATGTAAAACATTGAGTTCAAAATGTTTAAAAGTTGCATCTTGTATGTGGTAATCCCTATCTCTTTCCATGCAAATTTAGAGAAAAAGGCGTACGAGAAATATTTTAAAATGTGAGTATTCAAAAATGTTACAATTTTATAAATGTTTTACAAAAATCATTAGTATGTGACAATACAATTTGACAGTTCAGCAAGAAGAAACTGAAATATACTTTAATAGGCAATACATCTTTGAAATTTCTATGTGTTTTGTATAGTTCTTTATATATGGGAAAGAGAAATGCAATCAGATAAGATGGTTGGACTGGCAACTTGTTGGATCTCTCTTTGCTTTCACTATTTCTTGATATCAACACATATCTTATTACAAATAAAATATGATATAAATTTGGATAGGCATTTCAGGACTTACTGCCTTATACTCCTTATGCTCAGGAGTAAATTTAAAAGCATTTTACTCAAGACTGAACAGTGCCCTTTGGAGCTTTTAGAACATCAGTTGGATCTCTGGCATTAATTGAGATCATTCAAGAGAAACAAGTTAGAGAAATGGGAATACTGGATTTTAAGTATTCAAATAATTATTTTTAAAGATCTTTTGTACAGAAGGTTTTGTGACAATTTGGAGCCTGTCCTATTACTCTTTTTTATTTCATAACAAATACATGATCTTAAGCTAATCATGACAAATATACAAATAAATATGATAACTTGGCTATTATACCAAATACAAAATTTGAATGAAAATTTCCCATTGCATTGGTAAAGACCTATGTAAAATGAAATAAGATAAACTTGAAGATATCCTGATAAAATATCTCATTCAGCAAATTTAACTCTACCTTAAGAAATAATTGAATATACAGTTTAGATAATCTATTCTTTCTTTTCTTTGACAATTCTTCCTTTACTTGAGTAAACTTTTGTTGGGCTAAAAGATTTCCAGGTTGAGAAAAGTATTTTTATTCTTTCCCTCAACATATACTTTAATGAATAATTTGATGAAAGTTTATTTATAAATCTTTAGAGGCATATAGAAATTTTCCTCTTAATAAATTTTTAAAATTTAAAAAAGGTGAGCCAGAAGACAATACAGCAATAAGTCTTAAAATCAGCCTACATAAAAACATTTTAAAGACCAAAATACTTTTCAACCTCAAATAGAGTTATCTAAGAATTTAAAAAATACTTTGGAAAATAGATTTTAAAATGGTTTGCATAGATAAGTGCCCCTAAATTTGGAGGAAAGAAATAATACTAATACACATATTGCCCTCTTCCCTTTAAGAATTAGAAACTAGTAAGATAACTAGGATGATAAACATTTGTAAACACCTAGATTAAATTTGTGGGTCATGACTACACCTTAAATTCTAACCAATAGAGGTCATTTTGTATGGAGAATGAGCTAGTCATTTTTTTCTTGCACCTTTCCTTAATATTTCTACTGATCTTTAGGAATTTCTACTGTTTTCTTAAGGAAAAACTAAGGTACATACTTTCAGAATATGTAGTAGTTACATTAGCTACACCATGATTTGAATTCTAGTGCATGCACATGTGTACCCAGGCATGTGTATATAGGTACATATTTTTATAAAAAGTGCATGCACCAGTATTACAGATACATGGTGAGAAGAAATTAATGAAATATAATGTATGTCATATGAAAGGTAATATAATTTAACATAGGATTACAATTTAAGGACACAAGGAATAAATTTTTTTGTGAGGCTAAAATAATGTTTAACTTATGGTTTACTCATTATTAAGAAACTAACCTTGGAAAGCAGCGTAGACAGATAATTGATCTTTTCTATTAAATCTTTTATCATCCAGCAATTATACCTTTGCATATTTTAATCCATTCAAGTATCTTCAGGAGATATGTTACTACACTTGCATGTACCTTAATTCACTTTAACATTTACAAAATAACACTGACAAACAAAACAACAGAAACATCCATAAATATTAATGAGTATCTTAACAAACATGACACTCAAGTAGTTGTCTTGATTGTTTTAAGTGACATTTTAATTCCATGTTCTCTGAAATCTTCATGTAAAAGAGAGCTGTGTTGATGGAAGCTTCAGACACACTTACATCAGCTATGACTGTGGGATCTTATACGTTAATATAATTTTGTGTATCCATTTTGCATAATATGCTACTCGGACAAAAATACCAGGACGATTCGGAATGGCACATCCACGACCAGGAACAATGACACCAAGAACCATTCTCATTTTATGTTGTTCACAAACAAGTGGACCACCATAATCCCCCTAGGAAGAAAACATGCACAGTAGCAACAAAGAATTAAAACTTAATAACTCATTAAAATTTCCTACATAGATTTGTATCTCAAACATACATATATACCAAAAAAGAGAATAACTGTAACTGAAATAGGAAAACATAAAATTGATACTGGACCATTGGTTGTCTTTCTATTGAACTACCCAAGTAAGACTAAGAGAAGTATAAAAATTCAAATGACTCTATCATGTAGTATTCAAGAATGACTTGTCTTTTCCAAAATATTCACTCATACTTTAAAGTGTGTTTTGCCTTTACTGAATCCTGACTAACACAAAACTATTGACAACTATTTAGCAGGTAGATTTTATTTTTATTTTCTCCTGATGTTCAAAATATGTTCAATAGAGAAAACATGGAAAATGTAGAAAAATACAAGTACAAAAAAACCTCATCTGTAATCATATGGTTTTCAAATTAAACTACATTAAACTGGCTCTTATTTCTAAAGCTTTTTTTTGTCTTTTCCCATATGACCCCAAGAATGATCTTCAAAAGTTAAATAAAAAATTGTTCTTAATGAAATAATTATGTTAACTCTTTAGAAATTGTTTTTCCAGGCATAAAGAAGGATGTCCTTCTGCTACTGTTGGTATTAGTAGTTAATATAGTTAAATTTATATTTTATACTCCCTCTGTAGAAGATAGCCTATGATTTCATGACATTTTTATATGATAACTGTGTTGTATCCTCAGATATAGATGGGTGATAGATGAAATATGAATGGATTATAGACTTCTTTGTGTGCATATTTTTATATACATATATATTTACACATATTATTATACATAATCATTACAAATGTGTTGTATCACTTATATGCACTATGTAGCCTCCTTAGATTTCAAAGACAGGCTTTTGGCATCTTTGTATGAAGAGTCTTTGAAACTATCTTAACTTTCCCCTAATAGTGTTGTGATGAGATAAAACTAAACTACTGCAAAATTTAGTTCTGTAATACAGGTGGAAAGAAGAGAGCATCAATATTCTGTGATGGGGAAAACAACAGTGGGATTGAGGTAGAAGATACAACAGTTAAGGAGAGAGAGTTTATTCTAAGAAACTTCATATAAACTATGCCACATGAGTTAATAAATCTGATTTTTAAATAAATGTACCAGTGATTACTGATATGAACACCTCAAAGCAATTTGCTTCTGGAGACTTTTTGCTAAATGTGATACTATTGCTTTTATACAAATATTTGGAGATGTATGTTTCCAGTGTTTAGCTTTCAGTGGTTTCTGTGATTATATTATTCTGTTTTAATTGTCAGTGATATGGAAAAACATTGTGGAGGATAAACGCATTTTTGAGAAGTGGTAAAATCAAGTTGAAGTCAAGTTTTATCAATATAGATAAAAAATAACAAATATGTGATAATGAGATAAATACTTCAATGGTAAAGTTAGGAATCTAAGAATGTGTAGATGATAAACCATATTACAGGCTATTCTGAAGAGCTGCTGTCAAAGCACTTTTAGTAATGGCAGTAGGGCTGGGATAAGTGTATAGCTAACTAAGTGATCTTGAAGGTTGGGTCTAGCTCAAAACTTCATTTTTACAGGGCACTCAGGGTAAGTGTTAACTAAATAGATAGATGAAATAAATAAATAAAGCTTTCTCCTAGTAGATTTTCACTTGTTATAGTAACACCGTAATACTGATTTACTGAAAAAACACCCAATTTGAAAGTGGTTATGAACACATAATCTGTTTCTAACCTTATTTTAAAAGCAGTTTAAAAAATCTTTAGCTTAATACACATTTTTCTTTCTTTTCAGGAATAAAATAAAATCTCAGAGCACTATGTATAACACATGAATTTCAATATACATTTGTGCTCCATATGTGGGACATTTTCCTACATGTCAAAAAGACATTTCACTAGTATTGAACTTATTCTATACCTTGTTACACGTAGTATTCTACAATTCCGCAGCTCCTAATCTTGAAGAGTGTATCTCTTACATTCAAAATATATCTAAAAGAACAGTTTAACAGCTTGTCTATGTAAAATAGGGATAAGAACACTGCCAAGTTGAAAGAACAGTTTGCCTAACAAATGAAAATGTCCAAGCTCTTAAAGTCACAAACTTTGAACTTTCATTTTTTAAAAATAGAATTTGTTTAAACACACACACACACACTGCACACACCATAAACTGGCTTAAATAAAAAACATTTAAAAGTTTAAAATTAGGCATGTATCACTTAAAAAAATATTTATAGAGTTCATTCAGGGACAAATTGGGAAGATCAGATAAATTTAGGAAACGATTAGAAAAATTCAAGCTTTTAGAAAAAATCAAACTGCATGTCAGACACTTCAAATTTGAACAGCTTTCCCTTCAAATTCTGACTTTATTAGTTTATTGTTTTTTTTGAGAAACCAATGTCATCATAATTTGCTGCTAATGAAACACAGATTGTCTCATTGTTTAGGTAAGAGAAATGTATAAGGATAATACAGGGTTATCTTTCCCACTTCCTCTCTTAGAACAGATTGATACACAATTTTTATTTGAGAAAAACTGACAAAATAAAACATGAGAAATTATGCTATCCACCATATAATTCTTATTCAAAATCCCTTTTTACCTCGCATGGTCCTGATACAATATTTTCAGCCCCAGCACATATTTCAGACTCATTCAGAGTCACCTTCCCTTGGTGGTACTGACTGCACTTCTCATTCCCCATGATATAGAGATGTGCTACTCGTAACAGACCATCAGAGTTGATCACTAGAATGGTGTGAAAAATGTACAGTTAATGAGTACACTGTCAGGTGAGAAAAATAAGAAACAAATTTTCAAATTTATTTTATAAAATAAATATGATACTGCCTTATTTTTAAAATAACTTACATCCAGTGTAGCCCCAGCCATAAACACTGCAAGTCGTTTTTTCAGGAATTGTACATCCATAATTAGGTAAATCAATTGTACTAACAAAATCATCTAAGATAGCAGGCCTGAAAAGAGAAAATATAATAAGTACCCTTGATTGGATTCAACACAAAATTAACATATTAAAGTGTAATGTTAATGTTTAATATGCTACATATACAGAATAAATAGTCATTTCTTTTAAAAAAAGAAAGAAAAGGGAATGCCTCACATGTAATGTAGAAATTTAAAGTGGGTACTAGAGAAATGAATCATTTGGTGATATTTAAGAGTAAATGCTCACTGCTTTTTTTAAATTATCTTACCTGTTAAAGTTAATTGTCAAATAATTGTTTTCTAAGTTTTGGGTTTAAAGCAAACAGATCAGACTGTTGGTCAAACTTATTTATTCAGTTTTGAAAATTTTGGAAGTGCTTTCCTCTCTTCCTCTGTGTATATAAATATATACACTTGCAGAGACACACATATGTACACACATGTGACATATACTTCTATAATAAATCTACATGAGAGAGAAAGAATAGCCACAGAGCTGAGGAAAAAGCTTCAATAATTGTACAGTCTAGGTTAAAAATACAAAACCTTCTAAAGGAACTAACCTAGCAAGTTTCAGTAATACCAGATCTGATCCTTCAGGCCCATAGACCAGCTGGGAAACATTTAGAACCTGTTTGCGTTTCTCATCTCCTTTTCCATGAACATCATGAATTCCAAGCCAAGCTTCATAATCTTTCAAGTCTTTGTTTCTAAGTAAGAAATGAAAATGCAAAATATAATATAAATTGTGTAGTATTATTTAAATATAGTGAGTAATGTTGAGCCCATATATTGAGCTTATAAGGGGCTGATAACCTAAGTTTAAGCGTTGATTCAAAGTGTAGTAAAAAGGAACACATTTGTTATGGGAAATTCTGAAAGCTACAAGCACATATAAACAGGTGAAGCCTTTAAATTGTTGAAATTCTGAACAGCTAATTAAAAAAAAAGGATTTATGCTTTTTTAGAGAGTAAATCATTTGTGAAAAATTCCCAGGGAAAACAACATTACATTAATTACAATTTTACTACAGATTTTCATTTTTATCTCAGTTGTATAAATGTTTGGTTTGTTAATACGAGTTAATGATTTATGCTAACAAAATCAAAGGGACCTTGATGAGATTCAGGAAGCTTGCACATGTTGCCTCCTTATCCTTTCCTTAGACTAATTTTCATTGAAAATGAAATGAGGCTGGCTCTACATAAGAAAGAAGTGAAGATTGAGAGAAGTTTGGTGATACTCCAAAAAAAAATCTCTATCTATAAATATAGAATTGCAAGTAGGAGGTTGGGAAAACTTGCTTAACATAATTCCAGCAATTTTTTCCCTAAATGAGAGTAATGCCAGTTGGGGAAAGAAGTTAACAGAAGTAGTACCCTGTAAGCAAATATCAATTAAGTCAAAATAAGTTTTGTAAGGTAAATCTAAGAAACACATCAATGTGTTCAACCAGTGCTGGTGAATGTCTATTAAACAAATAGCCGTGAATAGCCACTAACTGGTAAATCTCTATTAGCTCTGTTTAGCTAAATGGAAGCCAAGCAAATTTTCAGATGTTCAAAACAAATTTCAGAAACACTTTACCGAGAAGGGAAACACTGTCTTGCAGTAAGGATCCAACTTTCCTTTATCAATGATCCTCCACAGATATGTTTATTTCTATAAGAAAGAAGAAAGAAAAACAAGTAACATCTGTGCAGAAAGGGTGCCTGCCAATTAATGTAAAACCTATAGCTCCATTTGTTTAAAAGAAATGCATTTGACAGGAAAATGTAGACATTAACCCAACTAGAATAAAATGAGTAATCTTACCAGAAGAATATTTGGCGATTGTAGCATTAGCACTTTTTTTCATAGTGCAATTACAATTATATGAAATCAACTTTATTTTTGTATAAGGAATGCTGTCATTACACACCAAGATCCTTTCCCAGCACACATGTTCACATGTATGTGCTTATCTTTGTGAGAGATAGTATGTGCCACAAATATGGGATAATTAAAATAAACAGAAAGCACAAAAGAATAAAAACAATGTAGATCTATTTTAAATTCAGTGTTTAATATGAAAAGTGCAAATGTTGAGTCTTTATTTAAACCCTGAAAACCATCTGGTGGTAGCCTTCTATAACATTTGTACACTATTTCCTTCTTTCATTACCATTATTTAGTTATGATATATTAACTTAAAATATAACTGAGTTTGAACAAATCTGTTTGTTCAGCTTAAGATCATTTATAACATTAAAATAATTTTGCAAGACATATCATCTGAGAAATTATAAAATATCTGTAGATCATAATAAATCCTATTACATTTATTTGATGATATCCAAAACTTGTAAATCCATTACTTTTTGGCAGAGAAATGGAAAAAGTGCAACTTTTCACAATTTACATTTCCAAAGAATACAGATGTTCAGTGCTTCAGAGGATAATAGAAGATCCCCAGACTAAGACCACAGTTATTTATGGCCTGTACCACACAGGAGGATAAGGGTATATATCGTTATTTAATTTCCTTTTCTCTCAGTATGCATTTTGGAAGAATAGGTAAAGAGCTGCTGTTACTAAGAACTTGGATTTGAAACTTTTCCTAAAAGTTTATAGTACTCTGATCGGATGAAAAACAGTTTCACCTGCTTTTCCAAGGATGGAGACTTCTAAAGGAGTATCCTTGTACATTCTCCTGTTGGTAATAATAAATTCAGAAGTATATGCTTTTTTTTTCCTGGAGTTATATTTCACATAGAATTACTAATTAATTCATATTTGTGGATTCTTGAAACATTTTCCATAATAAGGAAAATGAAACAGTCCTCCCAAATTTTACAGCCTTCATTAAACCTTCATTTTGCACAATCAGCTTTAATATTCTGGGAGTTTCACAATTCTATTTCAGTACTACACACATAGGACAGCTACACCATAATTATCAACATAAGCATTTATAAAATTTAAGAAGTTACTCCCTGAAAGGACATACTAAAAGAGAACTTCAGGCCATTTTGTACCATCTAGTATCTGAAGTGGTATATACAGTATATCAAAAAATATAAACTCCATGCTTGCTAAGAATTGCCTTATTCATAAAAGAACTTCAGTTTCATATCTCAATTCTGTTTTAATGTCATTGTGATTTAATTGTAGTAAAAGATGTACTTTCTTCTTCTACTTTAGGAGGGAGGGTTTCCAAAAAGAGAGGATATTCAAGTTGGTATTGAAGAATGAGAAGGATTTTCTGGGCATAAATATGAAGGAAGAAAGCTATAACATGCAGTGGGAACAACAACACAAAAGTCTGGAGGGAAAAACATGGGGTGTCTTGAAAACAAGGGAAAAGAAAATGTGGCTAGAATTCTGGTACATTTTGGGGTATGTAGTATGATGAGGTTCAAATAGTTAGATATAGACAAAGAAATTTTGACTTTCTGATTACCAGATGGTATATGTATACAGAAAGTTGTAAGTCCATATTTTAAGTTAACTCCTATTTTTAATATTTAATTCTTACAACATAATTATTGATTTTAATTTTTGTATAACAGTATATTTTGCAAAGTGGTTTTCAGTGGAACTTCTATAAAATTGACAAATATCATATCCAAATGAGATCCATATGTCATTGACTCTTAAGAGCATTGAGAAATAACCATCTCAAGAATATTTTATCCACACTGAATAGTTTGTTAATCTTTTTCTTAATGACAAAATGTTCTAGAATTTAAAATTATTACAACTTATCCTTAAAATGACAATGAAAAGTGAGAAATTAAAAATTATAACATTTCTGATATGCATACACATGTTAGAAAATAAAATCATAGTATTATAGATTGAGAAGTTTTAACATTATATTATAGTATATTTATATGATAACATACATACTATAATTACTATGGTGATATCAAATTATAAGTAGGTTCTCTGTGTAATTGTTATTTGCTTAATCAGAACTGAATGTTACCTGTAATCAGGGACAATGCCAACACATACAGAACCTTTGTGTATATTTGCAAAGGTGCTACCTCTGACGGCACAAAGTGCAAATTTTAATTTGCTTGGCAAGCAAAATGCCCCCCTTGGCATGTGAGAAGGGCATAACCTACATGAGCACAGATGGGCATACAGTTGGGAATATGATTTTTGCAAATAATCCAAATACGTATGATTTGTGTCTATTAATAATTACCTGTATTTCAAACTAACCATCCATCCTACATTTGTTCGTGTTGGAATTCCATTTACAACTCGCAATTGTTTTGTTTTGGCACAAGATATTACAGGATCTAAAAGGAGGACCAAACATAACATTTTGACAAAATGTTTTGAAATAACCAGTGCCTCTCAGCTTTCTTAGATGCAATGGTAACTAGACAAATGTGATTACTTTAATTATGTTAGAAGTTTTTTTGGGGAAAAAAATTAAGTATTGTGACTACACTGAAAAAATCAGGCCAAAAATGTTTGCTATCCTCATCCAAGTAGACAAATTACTTAGGAAAAAATATTAACTCAAGGTTGACAGCATTTCCATTTATTAGTGACAGTAGCCTTGCCTGGAGAGCACTAAGCATTAAGTTACTTAGTTCTAACCCATAATTGTATGTCCCTCACCAACCTCAACATAAAATGAAACACTGTTCCATTTCATTTGTCAATGAAAATCAATACCCTGAGTGAAAAACCACAAAACTATATTTGGTTTATTACTTCTGAATTTGTACAGTAAGAATATAGAGCCATTTTGAAACATGTTACCATTATATTCATTGAGATTGTATCCAAATGATGTAATTGTGTTTAAATCATTATATCCAAATGACATAATACAGAATTCTTTGGAGTAAACTGTTTCCTGACCCTACTCTGTGTTGGGTCTAAGAGCTCTATTTAGACCTGTCCATGGTCTAAGATACTCCTGTCCATGGTCTAAGATAAATTTGCATTAGCTTCTTCAGCCTGGGACGCAGCTGGTGGTCTCTTAAATCAAACAGTAACTTCCTTCAGCTCAAGAAATATGTGAAAACCAAAAACAAGCAGCTCCCAAAAGATTTTCTTAAACTGAGGATTAACTGAACTTCTTGGATTGTGTCATCTTTTGCCTAGTAGAGCATTCAAAGAGCTTTAAAGATAAAGTAGGATAGAGACACTGCGTAACTTCCCAAACTTCTGGCTCCATTCTTTCTGATTTTAGCATCCTGTTTAACTGAAAGTATGGCGAAGGTCCATTATATACATTTTGCCCAAAATTAAAAGCAATATAAATGCTCCTTTCAAAGTTAAGTATAGCATCTTGTGTTTTCTGATAACGAACTGAATGTTGATATTCAGCATGTGGTTGCTCTGCAACCCCTTTACAGAAACACATAGAAAAAACTTAAATAAAACAAATAGATTAACTTATTCTTATTATGGAAGTTAAAATCTATCATAAGGAAGGAATCCAGATGGAAGGATCTGACAACTATCACATATTTTTCTATAAATAAAATAATGATATCAATTTTGACATATAGAGGCTCAAAGATACTGTGTATTTTAAAAGATTACTTACGGTCTAAATTGACTATTGTAGGTGTGGTATCACCTTCACCTGTAAAAATAAATGTATATGTATATATGTATTTCTGTTACATAGAATCAGAGCTATATATTGAAATACAAATATCCATGAATTGGATAATTTGCTATAATTCTTGACACTTAATTCAAAAATAAAATGTGAAAGTACTGTTTTGAGTAATTACGTATCACTTTTACTGGGAAGTATTGAACGCGTGTGTCTACAAGTAGTGAGGGATTTGAGGAAAGCCCTGTTCCATGACTGGAGGCTCTCAGCTGTGTGGTCAATGAGCGTTGGCAACTTCAGGTACACTGCTGGCATGGGGGAGCTGCCTCATTCTACCAAGATGCCCAGTACTGTACACCATGAACATCTCCTTGAATAGCTCTAATGCTTATTATTTGCTCAGGCCATTCATATAGCTAGACTGTGTGGGTTCTTTTTTTTTTACTATAAGTTGGCCCATTTATATTTTTTAGGACAATTATTTTAATTTTTTTATATGGTTGCAGATAATTGAAACTTCATCAAGAAAACTTCAAAAAACTCCAAGAATTCCAGAAGATAAAAATCAATGTCACTAATGGAAAGAGAGTGAAAACAAAATATAATTATGTTTTGTTAGAATATTTTAAAGATTGTTTTTTCTAAGGGGTAGTAAGAAAAAAAGTATGGAAAAAAGAGAACACTGGAAACTGCAAATAATTTTAACTAAAACCTTATAACTTACTCTTTTTTCATAACCTCCCTATTGGGGTTTAATTGCTGCAAAGAGAAAGGCTTGGAAGATACTAGAATTTGAAAAGAAAATAGAATTGAAAATGAATGACGCACATTTCCTACAATTTAATGTCTGACTGTTAAGAATTGATAGCATAGAATTTAGTCAGGCACTGTTTAGACCCAGCCCGTTGTTAATCCCTGGAAATGCTCTGAGCTCAAATAAATTGGAAACAAAATAATAATGGCATATGGATTTCGTGGTAATAGAGGCACATTTGATTGTTATTTATGGGAAATCTAAAGATAATTAACACATGCTAAAAGGTTTTTGTATTCATTTTCCAGATCTAGGTCTTTTAAATGAATAAGGGTAATGACAAAATATAAATTTCACCATTTCCCTTTCCCTTTAGGTTATCCTGGGGGAAGATTTTGTTTTAGAGTCAGCTGAGGTCAGTATTTTAGTTCAGAGTATAAATCAGGATTGAGGCTGATTATGATCATTAAAATATCAAGGATATTGGTTTTTCCACTCAAGTCAATTCCTTGAAAGTTATAAAATAAAAAATTCGCTATTTATTCCTTATGTTGTTGTGATGAGAAAGACTATATATACTATTCATCCCTAATTGCATATCAACTTTCCTATTTCTAAGCATCAATATATCAACAAAGTATTTAGTTCATTATTACAACTTAATAAGATATTTAATTTTTAAAAACTTTGTAGCTATTGAAAATTTGGTTATTTTATAATAGTTATTATATACTAATATATATATTATAATTATTAGTAATTATTACCTACATAGTTTCCTTTAAGCCAAATATTTCCTACACTTTAGAATAAGCTGAAATGCCACTTAAAATCAGACTTCTGAAGATTCTGAGCTGGTGGTTAGATTAATAATTTTAAAAGCTATTTCAGCATCTGTTGCACACTTTGAGCAAAACTTTGAGAAACTGCTTTCTAGGCCTTTTCCATTTTACTGTTAAATACTATCTTCACTTCTCTTTTACATTTCTCTCATTATCTCCACCATAGCACTAACGCCTGAAAATAATATATATGATACAAATCTTATTTTGTATTGATTCAACTTAAATTTGAAGAAAGAAAACACATCAAAGATAAAAATTTTATCTGGGGAAGAATGGCTAAATATTTTATAATAGTTATTATATACTAATATATATATTATAATTATTAGTAATTATTACCTACATAGTTTCCTTTAAGCCAAATATTTCCTACACTTTAGAATAAGCTGAAATGCCACTTAAAATCAGACTTCTGAAGATTCTGAGCTGGTGGTTAGATTAATAATTTTAAAAGCTATTTCAGCATCTGTTGCACACTTTGAGCAAAACTTTGAGAAACTGCTTTCTAGGCCTTTTCCATTTTACTGTTAAATACTATCTTCACTTCTCTTTTACATTTCTCTCATTATCTCCACCATAGCACTAACGCCTGAAAATAATATATATGATACAAATCTTATTTTGTATTGATTCAACTTAAATTTGAAGAAAGAAAACACATCAAAGATAAAAATTTTATCTGGGGAAGAATGGCTAAATTGTGTGTGTGTGTGTGTGTGTGTGTGTGTGTGTGTGTGTGTGTGTATTTATATGGCCTCCAAAACAAATATGAGCTCTTATTGAAACTATAAAGAAACATTTCTTTTAACATATTCTTAAAGTTTCAACTCAAGTTTTAAACTTTATGAACATCACATATTTCTCCAGGCAGACATGTTTCCATTCTCATTACATATTTTAATATTTAGTATATATTATTAAATGATCATATTTGTAGTAACTTAAATAAATGTCTTCCTTCTACACTGAAAACTATCTGAGGGTAAGAAACATTGTTTTTATTGTTGTATTCCTAGCATGTTATATACCACAAGAGCAGCTCAATTTAAAATTGTTAATAATGAGTAAAAAAATACAAACTAATTTGCCCAAGGAACTTAGAATGATAGAGTTGTAATTCTTATCCAGAAAGCCAGAGTAGAGCTCTTAACCACTACACTCTAAATAGTTAATAGTTAAGATTTTTCCCATGTACTAAATGTGTATGTGTACAGATATATAGGCATTTCTATAGTTTTATTTTTGCATATTTGATAATCTTAAAAAATGTATATTAAATATTATTTCATAAGCATTTTATAAAAAAGGAATAAAATCTTTACATGTTTTATAATACAAATGCACAGTGTGAAATGATTTATACAGTTTCTGTGGTTAAATAAATAAGACCTCAAATCTTCTAAAGATAAATTTTATTAGCCTTTCACCAGCAGGAAAATATAAATAAATCCTGGCTGTAAGTATTAGAAAAATGACAGCGAGAAAATGTTTACTGGAATTAATATTCAGAATATATTGAAATAAAAATGACTTATCTGCAATAGCATTTCATAAATACTAGGAACATCCTAAAGACTTCTAATAGCGCCATTACTTTGTTTTAAAATGTTATTAAATGTTTTAAGTTTATATTAATTTGTACTAAAATGTTATTAAATTTAAACTTTGTTTAAAATGTTATTTTTGAAAATATGTTTGAAACTTTTAAATTATTACAGACTTGTGTCAGTTGTTTATAAACCAAATAACTGTTCCCTAAGATTCTACGAGAACATTTTATTCTTAACTATATATCTATGTGATAAAATTAAGCTACTGTGATTTTTACAAATCTGGAATTCTGTAAGGAAAGCAAAAAAATTTCTGTTTTAGAAGCTAGAGCATTGGCTATTTTCCTTCTCCCTAGATCACTGAACTGTCTATGAGCTTCCATTATTCTAAACATAAAGACTTCACAGGAAAGTACTACAAGGTAACATGAATATTTAGAAAAATAAATCTCGGTGATTTAAAATATTTTTGTGTGTGTGTCACAGGGGTAGGTTTGTTTGCTTGGTTGTTTTAATGTTAAAAAAGTGAAAAGTATATCTGTAGAAGAATTTATGCAAACCCTAACATGGGAGAAGTAGACTAGCATTAGGAAAATACTAATTAATTAATTTGAAAGGTTATGATTATAGACGATTAAATAAAATATAATAATATGAAATACTATTTCTTTACAAACATGTAAGGTATTTATTATTATAATTCTTTATTAAAATTGTGAAATTCTAAGTCTCTATTATTATAGATATACTTGATTAAGATCATATTTAAGAACTTTGCCTTTTAATGCTATAATTGAAACATAACAATTTTTCCATTTAAGATGATAAATTATCTCTTTAATTTACTACATATTTTGAAAAAAATTAGACTTGTGTTTACATTTCATGTTGTTAAGCAAATATCATTTCTTCAACCTAATGTCCCTTTTTAAGAGGGTATTTTTGCCACTATTTTCAAGGTCTTGCTACTGGCTTGTCTCACAAGAAAAACATTCTTAAAACAGGACTCTTATTGAACTTATAGAAGTATAACATTTTGAAAGAAGAAAGTGGTTTAACATAATATTTAAAGATGTTTACTATAGACATGGAGCTATGAGATACATAATATAGTAAAATGGTCTCTTGCTACTGGCACAGCGTTTTAAGGCTTTTTCACTCAATAATATATGGAGGATATCCTTCTATCTCAATATATATTACTCTACATCACTGGTTCTTAATGGGGGTGATTTTTCCCCCAGGGGACACTTACAATGCCTGTAGATATTTTTTACTGTCATGATTGGAGGGAGGAGGTGTGGTGCAATTGATAGCTGGTGGGTAGAGGCCAGGGACATTACTAAATACCTCATAATGCACAGGACAGCCTCCCCTAACAAAGATCTATCCAGCACAAAATGGCAGAAGTGCTATAGCTGAAAAATTCTGATATATTTCCCTGAATTGACTTCCACACAGCTTTCCAATTCACAAAGCAGGACAGTATTGAGAAAGCCTGATTACTCAGACCCTTACTAATAATGGGAATTTTCTTATCTGCCAACTGATAAATGGAGATGATCTTATGCTTTTACAATTTCATTTTTTCTTACCATTAAGTTTTAATGTCTTTTCATCTGTTTATTAATTACATTTACTCTTAAAGATTCATTTTCATAATTTATCTCCTGAGTTATCTTTTTCTTACTGATACATAGGAGCTCTTTCATATCAAGAATATCAGACAGACATTATATATTTTATATCTCTCTCTTTTTGACATTCTACATACTTTTTGCACTAATACTCTTAAAGTATTCTTGGGCTCAAACAAGTGGATGGAATGCTTCAGGCTTCTCAGTCTTGGATTATAGAACAGAGAAGATGGAAACACCACTCTCTCAAGCCCATTCATGGCTCTGTTAGTGGGCGGGGGACTTTGCTGAGAGCTCTGCTACATAAATTCAGAGGCTGAACATGTAGTCAGCTAGTACCAGTGGGGCCCAGTGGGGTGGTCTTTCCAGCCTAGTCACATTAGAACCATAGTCATTTATTGCTTCTGTATTCCAAATGGGAACCTTCCAAGGGAAGAAAATCTTTAAAACGTCAGCACAATGTCTCCTTGTCTAGAGGAAAGATGAAGCAAGGTGTGTGTGTGGATGTGTGCATGTGTAATGCTGTCTGGAGTGTCAAACCCAGCCCTCCTCTATTACTTCTACCTCTGATTTAGGGTATCAATTTAGAGGAATTGCAGTGTGTTTAAAATATTTCAAATGAAAAAGATCACTAAAAGTACTTACAACGAGAAATAGGGCAATAATCCCAAGGAACGAGAGGATTTCCTGTGTAACACCAGGGACCATGGGCATCATCATCAGGATTCCGGCAGTAATTCTTGTTCAGCTTACTAGCATCTGGCTCCCAGAAGATATGCCTACAAAAACAACAAACTCTAAACATCACAAAATGCTCTGTCTGTCCAAGAGAAATAAGCTGTCACCAAGAAGATAGAACCCTAGCACATAACTCTCATTAGAGATACAACATAAGCTTCTACTTGGTGTGAGTTCTGTTTCTTTTGTTTGGGATTTATTTTGTTGTTCTTAGTTTGGAAGTATGTTCTCCAACTTGAGAATATGAACTAGGGCTATATAATTAGCACAGATAAATTGATAAAATATTTCATGACTTTGCTTCTATTTAATAATTATAATGGCAAGGTAACAATATTGCTGTGCATAGAAATGGAGACACATTGCCTTAGAAAAAAGCAGATGACAAACAAGATGAAGGTTATAAGATATATAAAAACATAAGTTATTGCAAAAGTATCTTTTCATGTTTCGGAAACATATGAAGCATCACTAACAATAACACTATGGCAAAGTATAAGAAAATACCTGAAAAATTAATAATAATAATTTGCTAATGAAATAATTAAATTCTAAAATTTCACTTGTTATGTAGTTATGAAACATGATTTGACAGATAACTAACACTTCAGCCTTTCTCATTTTACATCTTAACTAAATTTAGTACAAAAGAAAGTGAAAATATTGTGTTATTTTGTAAGACCATGCCCACTCAAACATCAGTGTTCATGTTTATCTCAATAATATTGATATCAAATTCCACATGGCCGTTCTGACCAAGTCATGACATTATACATTTAGATGGATTTGTTTTGGATCATTAACTACTACCATGCTTTAAAATATTTAATGTGCCAGTTAAAAAAACTAGGGAGAATTTAGATACGGAAACTTGGATTGTATTTCCAAACGCCAAGTTCATTTTCTAGACCAACAGCAAACACATATAGTATCTATCACATGCCAGATTCTGTTATATGTGATTTACATATATAACCTTAGACCAACCTAATGAGACAGACTCTGAGGTTATGCTATTTTATATTTCAAATCCACAAAGAACGAATAATTTGCCTAAGATCACATGGCTTGTAAGCAGTACAGCAGGCAGGGGTTTGAACACATGGCTCTTCCCAAGGTCAGTGTTGGAAACCAGCACGATGTACTCCCTCCTTAGTCATTGTTTGTTAGACCAGAATAGTATCATGCAACTTAATCATTCATCAATTTCCTACAAATTGTTTCCAAGTGACTTTTAACCATTAACTAAACTCAATGGATTAAGAGTTATTACTACTGTAGTCCCTGAATAAGTATGTCACATATTTCCAGTGGTATGCTGGTAAATGTTTTAACAATTAGAATTTTGAGGTCTGTATGTAGGGAGTCTTTTTTTGTTACCCTTGCTAATTTCTGTGGTGTAAATATTTCCACCATAAAAATGTCAAAGTTCCAATGTGAAATCACTGAAGAAAGTGTTGGTACAATTGCCTCTCACAAGTCCACAAGAGCTAGATCTACCCCATTATATTTATAAAAATGCTTTAGAAAATAGCAGTGTTGAAATCAGCATTTAATGTTAATTCTTGCTTAAAAGTCTTTAATGAATCCCTTTAATGCTTAGGATAAAATCCAAACTTTTTAACACAATTTACAGAGCTCTGTATTGTCTTGCCACTGCAGAATTCCCTCTGTGGACATTGACCAAATTACATTGTTTCAAACTTACACTTGATTTTCAACTCTTCGATCTTTGCACTTTTGGACAAGCTATTCCTTCTGCCTGATGTACTCTTCCTCTACACGTCCTCTAATTCCCACTTATCATACATGCTCCAGCTAATGTCCATTTCTCTAGGAAGCCTTCTTGATCTTCTGAGTCTAGGTGGCACTCTTTTTATTCCCATAACATGAAATATGCTATTTTTTGTGGTTTTTATAACATGGTATTGTCATTTGTTATTTGATGACATTCTATACTTGAGTGAGTTCCATGAGGACACAATTTTGATTATCGTAGAAGTCCTAGAGCTCCATAATCCAATAGAATACCTACTAGCCACATAAGCCTCCTGAGAAATTAGTAAGTGGCTAGTCCAAATTGAGAGGCGCTGTAATTGCAAATATACATCAGATTTTGAAACTTTAACATGGAAAAAATGTGTAAGATATCTTTAATAATTTTGCATTGAATACATATTAAAATGAAAAAGGTTCAGATATATTGGATCAATATAAATATATTATCAAAAATAATTTTGCCTGTTTATTTTTATCCTTAAATGTGACTATTAGAAAACTTAAGCACCTGTGCAGCTTACATATGTGAATTGCATACTTATGTTAAAGAGCACTTAGAATCTTACTATTTGTTTGTGAAGCAAAGTTACCGAAACACTGTCATCCACTAGTCAGTACATTTTGGAAGAGAATAAAGACTTTAACGTTAAACTAGGACTGGAGGCAAAAGGATTTGACTTCTCTGAGCCTTTAATTCTTATTTACACATTTAGAAATATCTTCCATATGGGATTGTAATGATCAAATGAGATAACTCATGTAAAGCATCCATGTTGTAAGTACTTAATCAAATGACACTAACCTTTCTTTCTTTTTTCTCTTGTGCATATATTCTGGGACATCTATTAAAAACTTGGTTTTGTGCCACAATTATATCTGATAGTTCTTTTGTAATTTCAAACATACTAGCTCTGTTTCTAGGGTCAAGTAGAAGATAACTTCCTTTTATGTGAAGGAATGTCCAATGTCAAAATTCCTAGTTGTAGTTGTCTAAAATACATAGTTTTCTTTCAATTGCACATACATCCCTCTGATTATAGAAAAAAAAATTGTGTCCTAAGAAAACTGTACAAGAAAACCTGTCTCTCTAAGTCTTTAGTAGTTATATGGATATCTAAGGTATGTATGCACATGAAAAAAGTCACTTACTGATTTTTCATGAACTAATATTAACAATTAGTAACTAATTATAAGAATATAATCACATAATGTACTATTTGAAATGCTAGATTTATCACTTAATTATATCCTTGTCTTATCAAATTATGTAATTGTTTTCTTAGTATAATCATATCCTCCTTAAAGGTGAAGCAAAACATATGCCTACTTTTTGTTAATGTTCCCCATGGCCCCTATCACAGAGCAAAACACATTGTAAATTTTTTAGAAGTATGTGCTGGATTGAATTGCTTATTTAAAGTTTCCTATGTAGAGAGAAAATCTTAAATTATGTTGCACAGAATAATCAAGCTAATGTTTTTATTATCTTACTATGATACCTAAAAAAAGTAGAAATAGCATTGTACATATCTGAATTTATCTATCTGCTGTTATCACTACATACAATACATAGAAAAAAATTTACACACCGGTGTAAGTCTTCCATGTTCTTGTCCCACATAGAACACGTTAATCCAGATCGTGTTTTGGACAAATTGCCCATATAATTTTTGCCATTCCCACGATAACAATCTAAATAAAACATATAGGGAAAGACTAATTAATTAACACTAGGGAGTATAGCACTCAATCTGTAGAAATCAAATAGACCTAAATATCTCAAAGTATCTTTATTTTCAGCCAAATTTCTTCTTCATTAAAATGAGAGTTTATGCATCAAATTACAAATTTTTAAAAATCAAAGAAAAAGTTAAACGAGTAGCACTCAGGGACAACAAAGAGTGAGAATTTTTAGAATGACATATATAATTTCCCAACATTTTCTTCTGAAAACTGTTAATCCACAGAAGTCCCAAGAATGATACAGTGAACACCGATACTGTCATGTTTGTTGTGTTTTGATTTTTGTCTTTTATGAGTTTGACATTCTGAGTTGCTTAGGCCAGCTGTCTAGCAAATGTTCTTTAATTTCATTTTGTCTAATTATTTTCTCATTAATAAAATCAAATTAAAGACAGGAATATTGCACAGGTCATATTTTTTTTTTTTTAGAGAGGGCATCTCATATTTATTGATCAAATGGTTGTTAACAACAATAAAATTCTGTATAGGGGGGTCAATGCTCAATGCATAATCATTAATCCATCTCAAGCCTAATTCTCCTCAGTCTCCAATCTTCTGAAGCATAACGAACAAGCTCTTACATGGTGAACGAATTCTTACATAGTGAATAAGTTCTTACATGGTGAACAGTACAAGGGCATTCATCACAGAAACTTTCAGTTTTGATCACGCATTATGAACTATAAACAATCAGGTCAAATATGAATATTCATTTGATTTTTATACTTGATTTATATGTGGATCCCACATTTCTCCCTTTATTATTATTATTTTTTTTATTTTTAATAAAATGCTGAAGTGGTAGGTAGATGCAAGATAAAGTTAGAAAACATAGTTTAGTGTTGTAAGAGAGCAATTGTAGATGATCAGGTGTGTGCCTGTAGACTATGTGCTAATCCGAGCTAGACAAGGGCAATAAAACATCCACGGATGCAGAAGCTTCCTCTCAAAACAGGGGGGGTGAGGTTCTAAGCTTCACCACTGTTGTTCCCCGATTTCTCACCTGATGGCCCCCCTGCGACTGTGCCTGTCTTAGGTTGTTCCTCCCTTGAGGAATCTTACCCGTCTCGCACAGGTCATATTTTATCCTTCTCAGAGCATGATATCATGTGACACGTGATTTCAGTTTGTTCTATTATTGGTGATGAGTTTGATAATTTGATTAAATGGTATAAAGATAAAACTTCTGTTTGTATATAACAAAAAAATTGTTGGAGTCTTTGAGACTGATGAAGCATCCTATTGCCAAACAGATTTTTATAAAATGGTTAGGCATACCTTGATGAATTTTTTGTGAATCAGTTATTACTGTGCTGGTTTTAAAACAGTTATTTTTCAATTTCCTACATTCTTTATTAGTTACCATTCTTCTGTAAATGAGAGTTTTTCCTTCTCCCCTATTCCCTTCATTTAATTATTACTGCTAGTGTAGTAGTAATACTAGTTCTAGTGGGAACAGTAATATAAATATGGACTTGTGGGTTCTTTTTTTATCCAATATGACATATAATCTATTACTGTTCTTCATTTTGATATTTCATATCCATGGGTCATACTTTTCAATATCACTTAGAAGGAATTTGGTATTAAATTTAAAAAATCAAATTGGATAGGATTTGATATAGATAATGTAGCAGTCACTATAGTACAAAATAAAATTGTTTTCAGAAAGCATAAACTTGTAAAATTCAATACTTGCACATATGCAGAATGCACCAGTTAAAACACTCCTGTTTCACCTTGTATTTTTTCTTGCCCCAGGCCTGTAACCATCACTATCTCCAAGGAACTCTTGTTTGTTTAGCAATGAAAGGTAAAAAGAAGACAAGAAGTTGGTGCCAGGTATGCTCATTGTTATTTTTAGTCCCTTTCATTTGATTAAACACATTTTAATCAATGTGTATGTGTTTTCGTGATTAACTGTGGGTTCCTCTAACCCCAGGCCAATACCACTGAGTTCTTCCTCTCCTGTATTTCATCTGTAAATTTCAGGGTCAGTCATTATGTTCTGTTTTCTTAATTTCTTTATTGGGCTGTTCACTCAAATTTCATTTAGGATTTTCATATTAACATTCACACATGAGATAAATCTATGGTTCTTTTTTTCTGTGCTATCTTTATCATGTTTAAGTATGAATATTATAATTCCATCATAAAAATACTTAAAGTTTTACTGTATTTGTGAAGCTGCAGGGCAATTTATGTAGCATTGAGATCATCTGGTGATATGCATGTAGGCATGGTGTATTTTTGGTGGAATAGTGCTTTAATAAATTTCTGTACTTGTTTATAGGAATTAGTCTATTTAAGTTTTCTTTTTCTTCCAGGGTCAATTCAAATAACTTGAATGTTCCTAGCAAATTACCTGCTTCATTTGCATTTTCAAAGTTTTTTACATGAGGTTTGTCTTGACTGAGAGTTTCAGCTCTTGGCAAGTTCACTATGGATTTAGTGACACTGAGAAATGACAATGAAACATTCTTGGGGTAAAAAGGTTTATATCAGCTTTATTCTCCTGAAGGTAGTTCATGCACTAGAATCAAGTCTGCAGGTCCATAATCCACCCCGTCTCTGCCTCCATCTAGAGCATGGGACAGAGCTCTTTATATAATGATTCAGTCAGTAATAGTTTATTGCCTACGGGTGTGGAAGCATTAACCTAGCAGTAGGCCGGTTACATCAACAAGTAGTTTAGGGTCAGGTAAGAATCCTGGCCACAGGAACTTCCATTTTCCCTAGCAGGTTATATAAAACAATGTCTTATATTTTCTAATTTTCCTGTTTCAATGGTTATTTCTCCCTTTATAATTATTTTATGTATTTGTCCTTTCTCTCTTGAATCAGTTAGCTGGTGACTGTCTATTTTGTTAATTTTTTTGAAGAACCATCATTTCCCTTTACTCATTAGTACTACTGTTTTCTTTTCTTTGCCTTATTAATGTCTGCTTTTATCTTGTTTTCTTCTTTGTATTGCTTTTGGTTTACTTTTTCTCCCAACTCTTGGATTTGGAAATTTAATTCATTTGTCTTAATTATTTATGATATTAATATAAATATTTAAAGCTGTGAATTTTTCTCTGTTTACAGCCTTAAGTACATTTCATATACTCTAATAAGTTGTGTTTTATCAGTATTTTTAAAGAAAATCTGCAGTTTTTTTCATTTTTTATTAGTTTTAATATCCAGTTGAAAGAAAATTTGTGTATATGCTAATTTAGATGTTGCAAGATTTGAGAAAAAGTTTCTAACTCATCAATCTATATACAGAATTTATATTTGTTGTTACCTGGAAAAAGATAAGAGCAACATCCTCTCCTATGTGTGTGTGTGTGTATTTTTGTGCATGCATATGTATCACATATATAACAATGCATACCATTAGCTTGGCAATATCATAGAATGACATAACTTTTAAAGTTTCACAGCTGTATTTAGATTGGCTAATAACGTCTCTTAAGTAGGACTTCTTCATTTTTAAGTTGCCCCACAGAACTTAGCACATTATTGCATGACCAGGTAAAATATATTGTTAAAGGAAAATAATATAATATTGTTAAAGTATTAATGAAAAGGTAAAGGCATAGAGTAACTGGGAGGCCATTTTAAGGAGAGTTAAAGTCAATACCAGCTGTGTTAATTTGAGAATTTAGGCAAGATATTTAAATTTCATAAGACTTAATTTCTTCATCTATTTATATGTAGATTTATTAGATAAGCAATAATCAGCTTAATTTACAAAATTCAAAATGCTTATATCCTATTACCCGATTCTTTGCTGAGTGATATGTATGTACATAAAATCATCTTAATACACATGAGAAGCTTTTAAAGCAATTGTTCTCATTTGCCTCTATCACTCACAGATATTAGTAATTATTTAAATGATAAGACAGGCACAAAGAAGTTACAGCTGGTCCAAACCTCCCTTAATCATTGGTTTCAACTTTATTTCAAACTGACCTTTAAAATCTTCCAAAGAACAGTGAAATTTACTGAAAAGAGACCCTCCCCTCTTCTCTCCTACAACTGCTCACACAGTTGTTCCTGACAAATGGCACTGAGGAGAAGCTAAAGGAAGGCACAAGTATATGTAAGGCAATAAATCTATGAAATGGAGCTTTAAATTTGGTTTGCACTTTTTAGGATGATTTAGTACTGACCATGACTATGACCATCAAATTAAATTTATGTGAAGGAATATGATCATTTAAAAATCATAATTCTCCATTCATTATACACCAACAAATGCCCAGATCCTGACATTATTAATTCTTGCCAAATGATTTATTTTTTAAATATATTTCAACCTGACTTTTCTCTACTACTGCTTCCTGAAAAAAACTATCTTCAGTGGTGTCTATGATTCCAAGCACAATGGTGACTTATCCCAAACCCCACTGCTATGTATCATCTCCACTGCTAAGACCCAGGTCTACATCACTCTCATCTCTTGTCTGGGTCACTGAAACAAACACTCAGCTGATTCCCCTGTTGTGGCCCTTGTCAGAAGTCTTGTTATTTTCCACAATGTAGCCAGAGAAATCCATGTAAGATTTAAGTCAGATGGATCATTTAATTTCTCTTCTTAGAGCCCTGCAACGAAATGCCTTCTCTTTCCAAATAAAAGTATAAACCTTTCCAGCTCCTACAATGCCTATGCAGTTTTAGCCCAAATGCTCTCTAACCTCATCTCCTGCTACTCTCCATCTTGCTCTCCCTGTACCAGCCACAACGATATGCTATTTTTCTTGAAGAACTCTCCCATCTCATGTTTTCATTTGTAGTTTTCTCTACCAGGAATGCCTTTAATAAATATACACATATGGCACATGCCACTCCCTCATTTCTTGCAGGTCCTCCTTAAACACTACCTTAATATATTACATCTTCCAAGACCATTAAAATATAAAATAGCACACCCCACACTCTAGCTCTGTGACATTTTCTCTCTACTACTAACCACAGAACTTACTAGCCCCACCTCCATTTTTATTTTGCTATGTCCTGTATGCTGGAAATTAGCTCCATGGAGTCAGATAATTTTGTTTGGCTTACTGGTATAGGTGTAGTGCCTAAAACTGAGTCTGGCACTAGTATACAGTCAAATAAATAAATAAATGTTGAGTGAATGAATATATAAAAGAAGTTCAACTTCAGACTTGGTTATTTTGTTTGCTAATCTGCAAAACCAGGGCAACAAGAAATAGATTGTCTGCTGTAAAATGTGTCCTCCCTCTAGGCATTTCCACTGAATTTAATCATGCCCACACTGCAAAATGTCAACTATTACCTTGTCCACTTGACACGTCACATTTTGGAATTTGGGAGCAGTAGCCAACTCGGATGTTTGGATCCGCGGTAAAGCACCAGGGTGACTCAGCTCCATCTGGATTTCGGCAATAATTTTCCCTTAGGTCCCTATTGAGAATATGCATGTTAATGTAAATTGCCTGAATTCTTACATTGGTGAAGTCAGAGCTGTTACATTTCTAGAATCCCAGAATGTATGCATGTCTATAAATAGAGTTTTAAGTTTTAGATTTAGGATAGTCACAACAATTTGGAATTCAGATACACAACTGACACTGTCCTCATTACTGAAATAAATGCTGTCAGATGTCAGTAGTCTTTTCCTTCCACAGGCCTGGTGTTCCACACAAACACGACTGCCTCATGAAAGAGAGAAATGGTACCACTTCATTCTTCCTACTCATTCTCAAGACTTGGACTCCCAACTGTTGCAATTCTTTTAAACTGGTCTGTTATTTATTATGTTTTCATGGATCATATATAATGTAGAAACAACATGTAACTCTCTTTGCAGAAGGAAGGCCATTATTAATTGTCATTAACTATTTTTATTTAAAATGGCAGTGCCTCCTATTCAAACACATGCCACACACATAAGAAAAAAAAACATGATAGCTATTTCTTCCTTGGATTCTGTATTTCCTCAATTTATTTAATTTGCTTGCATAAATTTCTTTTAATTACAAAGCAGTCCTTCCTTGATTTAGAGCAGTTACCTAACATCTTTATAAATATGTCTATAAAGTGAGGATTTAATTATAATATAGAAAAGTTAACTATAGAAGTTGTCAGTGTAATACACGTACATCTTTCATTTTACCAGTGATTTAATTAAACAGAGTTCCCAATAAGGAAAAGTCTGTACTAATATTCTCTGTATGTAAAAGGACTTTACCTTAATATAAGGTTCACAGTAAATAAAATGTGGAATTTATGATTTGTTCTTCTGAAAAACACTCTCTAATTTGAAGCAAGCATGTACTTTCATTGATCCCTGGCTAATAATTAAATGAAATTAATATTCAATCTATTGTAAATATTACTTAGGTCCTATTAATCAGAGGTACTATAAATTTATTAATACCAAATTGACTATTAGAAACTGAGAAGTTTATAAGAAAGAAGCTTAGGTTTGCTATTTATTTCTGAGGTATGAAACACATGGGTCAGGAATAGAGAGTGAATTGCTATGAAGAAAATGAGGGAAATAAACCCAGAATGACAACTGTAGATTTGTTATTATAAAATAATGAACATTATAACAGATGAATATTAACTAAGTAAATACACTGAATTAGCAAAAAAAAAAAGAATAAAATATCTCCCCTTTCAAGTAGATGGGCCACTTAGTGTTCCTAGTTCTCCATCTTGAAATGTTAAGCTGTCTTATTAAAAGCCAATTATAAAAAGCCAATATGTGTTATTTATAGGTGCTATTTCAGCAAAGCCACTAGGAATGACACGTGTGTTATAAATTTCAAAAGCAATCATTTTATGTTCCTCATAACAAGGTGGACAATTTAAAAACACATGGCATTGTGGCTGCTCTGCCCAACAAAAGTCAAGTGATGAAAAAAAGCAGCCATGAAGAAAACACATAACAACTATATAATTAATATACAAGGGAAGTTTCTTTGGCTTGACTTAATCTAAACAATTGTTTCACTTTCCCACTTTTTAAAGCAAATCTAGAAACAACATAAAGCATTTATTTAATTTTTTAAAAATAACAGATGATAGGGATAAAAAGATACAACTTTTTAAAGAAAATATTTGGTTCAAGGCTAAAAACTCATCAGATCATAATATTGAATGAAATTAAGGTATGCCACTTCTTGTAAGAAAAATAAATGTAATCTCTCTAAAGTTAATAAGAAAATTTAAGAAGGCACTAATTTGAAACTCACCTGTTTATCATTAGCATTAATTGGTTTTATTAAATAGATCTGTAAGACCAAAGTTGAGACCAGAGCCTAGGGATGTGTTTCCCAATGTCTGGTACATCAACTGTCTGACTCAGAATCACCTAGTGTGCTCAGAAAGTGCATATTTGAGGTCCAAATCTCAGACATAAGCAATCAAACTCTCTGGTAGTTGAATCTGCTTTTTAATTCCTTATTATCCCTAGGCATGCTAAGGTTTAAAAATCAATAACACAAAAATTAGTAAAACGTTACTACTCTGCCAAATTTCCCCCAGTGCCTAATGAAATTTATAATATTTGCTTAATTTACTCACTTGCACTTGAAATTTTCAGGAGTTATGTCATGCTGGTGAGGATATTGGGAATCCCAACGTTGACACAGAATTCCATTCCAAATGGTATTGATGGTGCCCCTGTAACCCTCTCCTTGACCTTGAATGCATTCAGTTGTTTCCATAGGGACACTGGTGTCATTCATAGTACTGTGAGCTATTGGTAAAAATAAATATAAATTTAAATATTTCAACCTATCATCTGTCTATTAGAGTTCAATTGAATTTGCATTCCTATGATCATAATAATTGAGCAGAATAAAAAATCAATTTATCATTCATTATATTATCTCACTCAACCTAAGGGAGTAAATTAACATGGTGGACACTACTGTGCAATTTCTCTGCTTATAAGACAAAATCTTCTAGCTTAGCTTTATCTAGTTTGAAATGCATCATCTAATAGCTCTTAAATTTCCTTTATCTATCTACTCATTCATTAACATTAGATGTAAAATATTAACATTATTTAACTTTAACTTATTAATGTTAAAGTACCACAAATATGTTTTTTAAAGATAATTTTTCTTCCTTTAGAAATTAAAAACATCTTTGAGTAATATAGTGACCAAGTAGGGAAATTACAAAGCACTTTGCTGTAAATTTAGCCTTAAAAAAACAAGAAAAGGAAAATTAATGTTAGTCTAGAGAACAGTTATCAAAAAAATTCAATTATCATTATTACTTTCTTCATTCTAATTTTCCTTTCATTCAATTGCTGAATTATTATATTCTTAAAAAATTCTGTAGAATCATTTTATTGAATAAAATTTATATATGCTGAATACAAAGTATTTTCTATTATCTGACTCAGAATCTGAATGTCTAATAAATATATACTATAATTTATATATGCTGAATATACAATATTTCTGAAATGACTATATAATTATTCCTAAAATTAGTTGGATTAAATACAGACAAAATTGGTAATGGTGTTAACCATGATTTTCCTCTAATATAAATATATTCTAAGCTGATATGTTAATTTTTCTTTTTATTCAATTTGTTAGCATTAAAAAAAAAAACAAATAAGTTGTTCCTAGGCAGACTTATTTCTTAGTCCAACTTTTTTCCTAGTCCAACTATGGTGCTTACTTCATGAAATCATGAAAGTTTCAGTAACAAAGAAAAAGAGGTACAAAATTAAATTTTACCATAACTTAGACTCTCTTTTTGTCTTTAACGTTTAGTCACTTTAACTAAAAGATTCTGGAACAACTAAAATTCATATACCTTCTCTCAAGACATACACGGAAATGTTTGTAGTTCAATAGAAAAAAAAATCAATGTAAACTCCCACTTACCTTTACAATCTAAATGGTCATTCAAATTGCCTCTGGATAAAATTCAAGTTGACACCCTCTAAGACAGTTCAAGATTTGAATAGATGTCTTTGGTTCATCCATTCTCAGTTTAATGTATCATTTCTCCAAAGGAGAGCTCGGAATTAGACATGCCTTCAAAGGCTATGAATGTCTATAAAAGTATTCCATATTAAATAGTGTTTAGTTCTTTTAAAGAGGCTCTTTTCTTACAAATAATCTCTACCTTATGTGGCTGAATGCTTTATTTCATTGAGCTCCATGCAAACTAAGTAGAGCCTAAGTTTGGAAGTATTTGATGCAGTGTTGGGAAAAAAGAATGATTAATTAGTGACAATCCAAACCACTAGAATATACTGTATATTCAGATTTCCACAAATTGCCCTTTAAATAACTTTTCTACAGCTCATTTAAAAATACACTTTTATTTCTTAAGTATCTACTTTAGGTAATAGAAATGTGGCTCAAAAATATCTTTAGTTAAAAGGATATTCAAATGAAGTTGAGAAAATGTTCAGCTATTGACCTATAAAGTGGTCATTGAGAATTAATAACCTATAGAATTAATAAATGTTGATATTGGTAATATATAGAGATTCAGGAAGATCAAATATTATTGGTGAGAGAAATGACTTGTGTAGAAAAACTTGGTGCTGGTTAAAAGTCTTTTATGATTTTAATATTATGTAACATTCTTTGATAATAGAAAATAAGTTGGATTCCATAGGTCCTGAGGAATTACATCCCATTAAAACAAACGTCACTAAGCTCCTATATTTCTGATGATTTAACTGTTAAACAATTTGAGGAGACTGAGTGTATGGGAGTAATCTTTAAAAGTTGATAACTCTAAAACAGATAAAAGATCAAACATGTACTGACATATTTCATATCTAGTTACAAAATAAATGAAAGAATACAAAAACAAATGTCTTAAGGAATCCATCAATTCATTAGCTTAATATTTTAAGAAGAAAAGTTCTGATTATTCTACTTATTGGGCACAAACTTATGGGCAGCAAACTATGACATCAGGTAGAACTCAGAACCCAGACAATGGGAGGGTCAGAGTTAGGGCAGCCAAAGAAAAACACTTCCACTGATCTCACAGGCTTCACTGCCTATCTTCGGTACTTCTGCTCTCTTATTTTACTACTTATTTGTGTGTGTTTTATCTTGCTTATTAGTGATGCAGTTTTCTCAAGCATTTCTCTGGCAATGTAGCATGAACCTGAAAAAGCCAGTCTTGAAGAATCCCAATGTCAATCAAGGCCACTTTTGACTAGATGTTGGCCCATCACATCTCACTGAGAACCTAGTTTGAGGCCGAGCCCATCAGAGAGTAACACCTCTGCTCCTTGGACATTGGTATGATTTGCCAGATACCAACCATAACAATGAAAATAGGAAATAGATATTCAGACATGATTAAGGATTTGGTCATTATTTAGTGGAATTTCTAAATGTGGAAGCAGGTCTGAGGCTGTTTCTTCTACTGTGTGAAGGTAGCTCCACATTATAAAATTAGCCCTGTTTAAGGATGAGAGAGTAAAACCTCTTGCCTATAAGGCCAATATAAAATTAAATAGGTATTATATAGAGAGTGTGTTATTAGGCAAAGAGTGATTGGAGTTTCAAGGTAATTTTTTTATAAATACCTTTTTCAAAGTGATGCTTTTGTAGAAATGACCAATGACAGTAAAAACTTGAAATAATACATAGAACCTTAAAATCAAAAACATTTTATATTTTTCATTAGAAAAGCTACAGTTAAAACAAGCAAATATTATCATAATTCATTAGAAAATAAATACCTGGGAACTTGAGTGAAAGACTGTAAGCAACCACATGATTATCAGAAAATATTGAGGAATGATACAATTGAAAAGCTAGTAGAATGTAAATATTTTCCTAATTCAAGGGCAAAGTTTTCAAATTTTAGGAGTTTCTGTGAAAAGAAATAACTATATTTCAAAGTCAAAGGAAAGACCACTTGTATAAGAAATTGAGGAAAATATACCACCCTGATTGATCCACTAAAATTTCACTGTCCAGTTCAGAGACCTGAATTGTTGGTACTAAGTTTGTACCCCAACTACAGTTTCCCAATAAGATTTAATTACAGAATCTTTCACTTTTAAAAGTAGCAATCATAAAATCCTCATTTAAATTATGTTGAAGAGTTTTCCTTTACACTTTCATTAAGATATTTAAAAATCTATGCTATAAACTTATCTTAAGGAACCACTAAATATTCACTAAAAGATGAAATAAGTTAAAATGGTTAAAAAAAACTAATTTTGAATTTTGACTAAATAATTTAAATCATTTAACATTCTAATTTGGAGGAAGAAACTGAAACCTTTTGAAACTGCAAAAATTACAGAACACAAAGGATTACTGAACATCAATAAAAATACAATGTTATGCAGAACAAATGTAACATTCCATTAAGCCTTGCTATAGACTGTTTGTGTCTCCCCCAAATTCAAATGTTGAAATTCGAAACCCCAATGTGATGGTAGTAGGAGGCGGAGCCTTTGGGAGGTGACTAGGTTATAGGGCAGAGCCCTCATGAACAGGGTTAGTGCCCCCATAAAAGAGGTGCTACAGAGCTCCCTCACCCCTTCCACCATGAGGAATCTGCTGATACTTGATCTTGCACTTCCCAGACTCCAGAACTCTGTGAAATGAATGTCTGTTGTTGATAGCCACCCTGTCTATGGTATTCTGTTATGGCAGCCTTAATAAAACAAGCCTTATCAAGATATAAAGAATCTAAATAATATATATTTTTTTAACTTTTATTTTCCCCCTCCCTTTACTTTTATTTTAATAGGTATCTGTAACTTTGAAATATATAACCACAAACAACTTGATAGTTTTATTTATTCTTGTGTTTTAATTCAATGAAAATATTTCATGTGATTTTAACTACAGACTAACAGAATTCAGATATTTTTTTAGCTAAAAGCACCCTCAAAGTTAATGCATCTATATTTATTCCACTTGACATTCAACTGCTTAAAGTGACCCTATAAACTAAAACTACATAATTTTGGTGGCAATGTATAGAATGAGTAATTTAGGTCTAAAAAGATATATTATTACAACAAAATAACCATATAGTTTTCATCAATAAATAAGTTATTACAAGACTTCATGCAGCTGTTTAATACATATTTTTAATGAAGCTCATGATGAATGATTTGTCTATAGACCATTTAACTGTGATATAAATGTTTGATCTTTGCTGCCTATGTACATACTTTTCAGACAAAACGAATTATTCATGAACTGCAATAAAATAGAGTCCTTCAGCTGTCCTACTCTATCAATATCAAAACATGGTGCAAAAATGAAACAAATCTCATGCCAATTGATTTAGGAAGGCCATTAAATATTGATAAAACTATTCCTTTGTACTTAATACTTAAAATGGGACTGGAATAAGAGAAGGTTTTAGAGTCTCCAGTGGCCAAGTGAAGTGTTAAAGATGTACAGAAAAATCCCCAAATATCAGCTGAAGCTGATCAAGATCAGCCAAAGCAACATGCTTTTAAAATACTGCATCCCACTTACACAAAGATTTTTACAAGTATGTCTGCGAAGCTCACACTGAAAATACTAGGAACTCTTCTGAGAAGTCCTCACAAATAAAACATTTTGCCAGGGGTGTCAACAGTAGCCACCCTTTGGAGGCAGATGCAGTGGCCTATGAATGAAAGAATGTTTTTCCTTGATGACACAGTTTTCTATTTGGAACTGCTTTGAGAAAAACATTTGCTATTGAAATTTTTCACTATCCTGTTCAAACATGATCAAATGCAAT